CAATGAATTTAACTCGAGCAGTACAAGACAGCGTCGAGTTGTCATGAATCATAAAGGTTCTAGATGGTTATGTCTATTTCATTTTTTCGGCCCTAGTAAAACTAACTCGAACTTGAATTATCGTAAACACCCATCGTAAACACCCCTTGTGATTACCCTTCCATTTGTCCATCTTGCTTTTTGCGTCTCGAATCTGGCATCACTGCACTGCATAGCAGTGTCCATTCCAGTATATTTATAGTTCAGTGAGTTTTAGTGAGTTTTATATAGCTCAATGAGCATGATAAAATGAGATATAACCTCTCTATTATATTACACATCAATTATGTTAAAAATATTTATTAATGTTTAATATAAGTGAAAGGCACTTAAATAACAATATAAAAAAATATTACATATTAATTTCTTTATATATTTCATTAAATCTATAAATGATCTTGAAATATAAAGTGACTATTTAATGTAATAGTTTACTGTTGAATTTTATTGTTATTGTATATTAGTAAGTTATTTATTTATACTGTTTAATCTTAAACTTGAACATTATTCTGTCACACAATTATGGATATGTGTTTATTCTATTTATTATTGTGTAAAATAATACACTAAATAGGAATACTTTTGTATGAATAATTTCTAAGCAAAAAGCATTTGAAAAGAGATATGATACAATTACAGGAGAATGAGAATTAGTTCAATAGTTATATATTGATTATAAACTTCATAAATTTTTGACCATTTAATTATATGTATTTTTTAAATCTTGTATTTGTTTCTATACTTTATACTATTTATATTTTATGTTACAGAGTTATATATTAGAAGGATGGCTTATATTCTGAGCAAGATTCCCATTTTATGTCAAACTGCTTTCCACAAGAATATAAGATTTAAATCTGCTGTTAAAATGATATCTATAAGAAATTGTCATATCACTAACAGAACAAATCCCATGGCAGAACAGAGATTTAAGCTCAAGGACAATATAAGTAGTGATTATAAACTTATATATAGAGAGCACAAAATTGTCAATTTCGTAACTATTGTTGCATATACTTGTGGATGGCTAGGTCTCACTGCTGGTACAATGAGTATGGGATATTTGATCTACAAAAATCCACCGTTACAGCAAGAAGGTATAAAAGATGGATCTGGCAAGGAAATATTGAAACCTTTAAGTCAATTCGGTAGGATAACTGCGATATGTGCTAGCATTACTTTATCCATCTTAGCTATAATAGCTAGTAAAGTCATCCCATTTAGAATTTATCACAATCCTACAGAGAAATTGTACAAAGCTATCTTTGTAAGTAATGCGTTGGGCAAAGCACAGATATTAACATTTGGCGAAGGTACTGTTGTGCCTAAATTTGGGCGTAAATATATAGGAGATTTGTTGTTTGATATTAATGGTTATACTGTTTTACTTGATAAAGAATGTTTTCCAGTGCCATATGCACGTGAACAAATGATTCGTAGAACTGTTTAGAATTTATTTTTTTCTAAAAATAAACTAAAGAATTTACCTTTTTCATAAAATAAACTTGTGTACAAAATATCAAAATCTTGTTTTTTATCAATGCTTTAAATAACATTGTTATTTTATATACTTTAATAGTATATATATGTATGTATGTATATATAGGAAATGTATATATAATATGGAAAGGAAATATGTGTAATCAGATGCACGTAAATAAAATAAATGATATTTGATGTTGGTATTATTTAATATATAATAATTTAAAAAATACACACACACATATATATATACACACATAAAATATTTAGAGTTGTATGACATACTAATTTTCGCATTAAAAAAACCATTGAATCACTCAATCATCATTACAAATAAAATAATTTTTTTTGCTCGATACTTTATATCTTACAAGTGCTTAAAACGCCAATAGTCAAAAGGTTAACATCTAATTTTGAAACCAGTTATTTTGGAAATTGATGTGTTAATTCATATTTAATATTTACAACGCTTTATGTATAACAAATAAGATATTTAATTTCTCTAATCTTACAAATCTACTTACACTATATATACTGATATGCATTTAATAAAAAACAAATTAATTTATCATGTAATTGATAAATCAATAAGTAAAAATTCGATAAAAAATTGGCCTTGGATGCTTTGCAAAAAATTGCTTCCCATATTGGATGTTAAATGTACTTTATATACAAGATTAATGTTTCATTACTTTTTTAGTTGTTAAATTTGTACACAGGTGCTCTTTGAAGTAATCCATGACATTATCGCGATGCTAAAATGTATAATTTTTTCTTAGTATTCTCCTTTCATTGTTTCTCACGCTGCATATTTGCATACTTGTTCATATGAAAGCTTTTCCACAATCCTTTTGTCTTCTTCAAGTTCAACGTCTATACTATAATGTTCTATGTGCAATTTCTTCACTATCGCTCTCCTGTCTTTATACTTTCCCCAAAGAATCAATATTTCTTTACCTATCGCAGGAATTACTGTTTCCAAATATTCTTGGTCCAATCTTATAATATGTCCACTAACTTCTTCCGGACTCTTCAATTTTACTTTACCAACAAAACCATCTTTCTCAATTGATTGAACAACACCTTTGGCTTTGTAATATTTGTTGCCCAGATTTTTTGTAATTACTTTAACCATTAATCCTTCCTTAAGCCAGCCTTCAATTGGGCAAGAATTATTGTTGCTTTTTAATTTCTTAGCAGATTTCATCTCGGTGTCATCAGTGACTCTTTTTAGTTTCCTATCTTTCTCATCAACTGATTTGTTCAACATTGATTTATCTTGATTAGTATTTTCATTTTTTATTTTCTCTTGCTTTATATTAATTACAGGAAGGAAGTTTAATTTTGGTTTTAATTTTATATCGAGAACTAAAGGTACATTATTCTCGGGACGTATTAACGGTGTCTTGAATGTCTCACTTTCTTCTTCCTTTTCATCTGGCTTTGCTCTCTCTATTTGTTTCCCAATAAATTCCATCAGTCGTTCATTATCATCCTTATCCATTTTTTCTTTTTTTGCTTTTTTCTCTTGTGCAGCAAGTGTCTCAGGATCTCTATCAATATACGTTACGTACCAACCTGAAAAATTATAAGATATATTTTACAAGATATAAAATTTTATTAGTAAATAAATTTTTAATTTGTGAAGCACGAGAGAAAAAATTTTAAACAATGCATCACCTTTTTCTGTTTCATCCACAATACATTGTCCAGAGCGTCCAAGCCATTTCACATATGCTGTCAAGGTAAGCCACTGAGTTGCATTCATATGTACATGTCCTCTGTCAGAAATGTATTCTTGATATACCCGATTTGCTGGCACTCGTTTGGTACCAAATTGTCTTTTTAATAAATTCAGATATCCTTGTGAAAATTCTCGCGAAAATTGATCCATATACCGATGGGAGTTTTCAGCAAAGAGCAATAATTGACGATGATGTGACTCTGACATCGTATGACATTTGAATCCGTTTTCGTCTCGACATTGTTTTTGACACATCTGACAATACCATCTTAATTTCTGTAGTCCTTTTGCCTTAATCTTATTAGCGATGTATTTTGGTGTGCCTACTTCGTGCTTCCCCATTATTTACACTCCTATTTTAATGTAAGTGGAAATCTGTAATTGAATTGCAAATCGATTGTTTATTAAATATTTGTTTTCCAAAGTCTAATCTAACCAAACATAAAAAAATATAAAATTGTCATTTGTTTCAAAAAGAAAGATATCATAAATATTGATACAAATATTAATCATAGATACTTTGACATTTATTTAGCATATGAATATATTTAACTTACAATCTGCCACTGCTTAAAATACTGTATTTGATAAATATTAAAAAAACCAATTTTATCCAAAGATGTAATATGGCTCCGAGAGGTCTCCCCTCTTGCGGCCATCTGGTGCGGCCATTCGGAGTGGGGGCAATGACAGAGAGCGGAAGATTCAAATAGCGTGTGGCAATCGTCGAGTCAAAAAAAGAACAAACTGACTTTACCAATAAAGAGATAATCTTAGTTACCGACGTTGAGTTGTGATTAGCAACTATTTAACAAATTATTGATTTATTGCCATAGAAATAATATATTTACCTTAACAAAATTTGTATTTTGTTAATCAGTTTTATTTATTCTCACTCTTCATCTGTACATTGTATCGTCAACATCAAGTTAAAATATAGTTATCTAAAGCCCGCGGCACACGGTACTATTTTCTCTGCTGGATTGCTAACTAGATGTGTGTACTTGCTATCGTGTGGGCAGCAGTGCTGGCAGTGCTACTGGCCATATTGTTCACTTGGCTTCAGACGATGCGGGTTTCCATACTGGCTAAGCAAACTGAAGTAAACATGGAGTCAGTGTTGCTAGACGGGACGCTTTTTTTCACGAACGCACTTGATAGCGTTTTCGATTATACAGGATTTGAACGACCCAGGGTTGGTTAATGACATCATTGCAACCTCTCCACCAATGAAAGACTTGCATTTATAGTAAAATAGTGATTGATCAACCCTGGGTCGTTCAAATCCTGTATAATCGAAAACGCTATGAGAAT